AAACACATTAAACCTGCCACACTATATTGTTACTCCTTTTTTTTAATCACTAAGACTGCTCTGTAAATTGTTGTTAAATTGTTGCAAATCCCTCCTTGATACCTCAAAAAACAAACAAACAAAAAGTAAAAACAATGTATGAATGTAATGGGAAGTGATCTGATCATTAGGAATGCATATCATGGTGACATAAATGCTGATATTCCATGAAAAACACATCTAATCTTCAATCACAAATCTTTGCTGGGCTCTCAGAACAGACATAATTAATGCCCCTATCTTTCCATTGCTGGCTTCCCAGGTGGCACAGTGATAAAGAATCTGCCTGCCAATGCAGGAGACTCAAGAGACACAGGTTCAATCCCTGGGTTGGGAAGATTCCCTGGAATAAGAAATGACAACTCACTCCAGTATCCTTGCCTGGAGAATCCTATGGACAGAGGGACCTGGAGTCCTCTGCAACCTCCATGGAGTTGTAGAGTGGGACAACACTGGGCAACTGCACACACATGCACACACACAGAGATCACATGCACACACACACCCCTTTCCATTCCTACATGTTATTGACATTTTCCTTGGTACACGCCAATTGCAATTATTTAGAAAAAACATTTATATACAATAAAGCATTAAGATATTAATTTGGTTATGTGAACAGAGATAACCACCCTTCCAAACCTCAATTGTCCAACAGAGATCAGTTCAGTTCAGTTCATTCGCTTAGGTGTATCCAACTCTTTGCAACCCCATGGACTATTGCATGCCAGGCTTTCCTGTCGTCACCAACTCCTGGAGCTTGCTCAAACTCATGTCCATTGAGTCAGTGATGCCATGCAACCATCTCATCATCTGTCATCCCCTTCTTCTCCTGCCTTTAATCTTTCCCAGCATCAGGGTCTTTTCTAATCAGTCAGTTCTGCACATAAAGTGGCCAAAAGTATTGGAGTTTCAGCTTCAGCATCTGTCCATCCAATGAATATTCAGGACTTATTTCATTTAGGATTGACTGGTTTGATTTCCTTCCAGTCTAAGGGATTCTCAAGAGTCTTCTCCAAGACCACAGTTCAAAAAGTCTTATAGTCCAACTCTCACATCCATATGACCACTGGAAAAACTATAGCTTTGACTAGACGGACCTTTGTTGGCAGAGTAATGTCTCTGTGTTTTAATATGCTGTCTAGTTTAGTCATAGCTTTCTTTCCAAGGAGCAAGTGTCTTTTAATTTCATGGCTGCGGTCACCATCTGCAGTGATTTTGGAGCCTAAGAAAATAGTTTCTCACTGTCTCCCCTGTTTCTGCATCTATTTGCCATGAAGTGATGGGACCAGATGCCATGATCTTAGTTTTCTGAACGTTGAGTTTTAAGTCAGCTTTTTCACTCTCCTCTTTCACTTTCATCAAGAGGTTCTTTAGTTATTCTTCAGTTTCTGCCATAAGGGTGGTGTCATCTGCACATCTTAGGTTATTGATATTTCTCCTGGCAATGTTGATTCCAGGTTGTGCTTCATCAGCCCAGCATTTTGCATAATGTACTCTGCATCTAAGTTAAATGTCAGAAATATCAAGCTCTACTCCATGAGAGGAAAAGTGACACTGCCTCTTATTAGGATGGACATTAAAAAATTTACAGACAAAACCACCATAGCACAGAATTCTCTGAGGGAAAGAACAAGTATAAAGAGGTCTCTTTTCATGAAAAAAATTAACAGTGGATTTTGAGAGTGCATCTATTTAGATCCAGGCCTAAAATAAAAACATACTCCAAATTTCTATATGTCTTTTTGAGCTAATCTCTGATTATTCTCTATATTTTTCTATACATACCAGAAATCCCTCTTACTCTTCCCTCCCCTATATGAAAATTATAAAATCTTGGCCAAGATTTTCTTAAAATAGTGAATATGGGGAAAATAACAATTTTAGCATTTTCCACAAGCTAGTTGAATGCATAAATCAAAATTGAACCAAATCATTAATGAAGACTTTATATAAATCATTTATAAACTTGGGCCCCTTTCTCACCCTAATAAGCCACGTTAGCTTTCTTCCCCCCAAAGAGACCCCCAAATTTTTTTCTGGAGCAGATGCCCTGAAGTTGAGACATATGGAAAAACGGAAGATGGACATGGAATGTAAGATGAAAAACCCGAGGATTAAGTCTCCTAGGCCTATTACTGGCTGCTAGGCGTCTGCCACCTCGCATCATGAGTCAGGCAGGAGTTGGGTGTAATTTCTGAAAAAACAGAAATGCCTCTGAGCAAAGACCTTCAGACTAACCTTTGAGTGTCTCTGGCCAAAAGCTGGTCCAAAGCCATCTCTTTGTTTTGAAGCCCATCTCTGCACAATGTGCTTCCAAATGGCTTTTTGGTATTTGGGTCTGAAGTAGAAACTACGATCAGCCATTTGAAGGCAGTGTTTGATAGAGAAGAAAGAATCCAAAGCAAACAGTGGAGAACAACTATAAACAGTCCAAAGCTCAGATCTGCTATGTGCTAGGCAGTTTTCAAAGTGCTATCAAAAGCTATATATATCTTGAGTCCCTTCACCATTCACTTGAAACGGTCACAACATTGTTCATTGGCTATGTACTCCAATACAAAATAAGAAGTTAAAAAAATAATAAATAAAGCTATGTATATCTTACTTTAGCTCTAAACCTGAAAGTGGTTTTGTACCATTCCCATCTGGAAGTAAGGAGACAGAGCCACAGGGATTTGTTTTCTTTCTTTTTAAAATTAGAGTCTGTTTGCTTTTCGACGTCATGTTTTCGCTGTGCAGCAAGATGAATCAGCTGCATGTATGCCTGTTTCCCCTCCCTCTTGACCCTCCCCCCATCCCACCCCTCTGGCCCGCACAGAGCCCCGCGCTGAGCTCCCGGTGCGACTCGGCAGCTTCCCACTCGCTAGCTCTTTGACACGTGGCGGAGTGTATGTGTCAGTACTGCTCTTCCCATTCCTCCCATCCCCCCTTCCCCTCTGTGTGCACATGTCTGTTCTCCACGTCTTCCTTTTTGTTTGCTTGTTTTTCTTTGCTCTTCTTTTTATATTCACAGGATTTAGAATGAGTTGCCCACAGTCACCCAGCCAGGAAGGCAAGTCTTTTCTGACGAAGTTCCCTCTCCCCATGCTCAGTGAATTCTAGCTTTATGACTCTACCCCTTGCCCACCCCTCCTTCACAAGTTTCCTTGTAGTGATTATATTTTTGAAAGAATTAACGCATTTTGGAGTTTCCTGTTTCCTAACTGCCTGTGCAGAACTGTTGAGTACTTTGTCTGCAAACAATGTTGGGGTGCAAATAGTGCATTTTCAGCTTAATTAGCTCTTCTGTTGTAGTAGCGTCCATCACTTGACTTCTTTAGATGAACCAGATTGCAAAAGTATACCACTTTCTCAGTTTTCCAGGCAAATCTGGCCATGGAGTTTTATTTAATTAACCTCAGTCATTACATACAGATGAAACTTCCCACTTTTCTAAGATTATATCAAGAAAAGTTCTCTTGGGGATTTTTGAAGATAGGTAAGGAGCTTTTATTGTTTCAGAGGCAAAGGAAGTGCTTTGAAAGAAAACAGACCTTATTCTTCAGTGGATGGAAGGGAAAAAATGAAGTGAGAGAGAAAAAAAAATCTTTGTGGCTGGAAGTTCATTTCGGTTTAGTATGGAGCAGATGTGTCTCTTCTGAATAATCTCAGGGACTGAGAGGAGAAGGACCCCCTGCAGGAAGTAATTAAAACTTGGCAGTAGGGACATCAGCAGACTTTTAAAACCCCAGACCAGAATTACAAGCCAAATCTCTTGGATATAATTTGAGACAGCGTTTAAGATTCACTACAAGTTGAAGACAGTCAATAATGCACTTGATTCTCTATGGAATTACTGAGAAAAGATGTCTGTGTGTCTGATAAATTTTAATTATTTTATTAGCTCTGAGGAAAAGTCATTTCAGTTATGATTATTTTAAATCACATATGTATGCTCAATTCTATTTATCTTCTAATTGTAAGGAAAAGGGAGTGCCTTCCAGTTTAGAATTATGGATCATGGTACACGATTGTCTTATAATGGCACCAAGATTGAAATGAAAAACTTAAGAGTCTAGCCCAGAGAAAATAATAATTTCTTATGTGTCTATATCACTTTAAAATTCACTGCCACTATTATCTTGATTGAACGTCCAAGGAATCTCGTAAGCTTGATCTAGAATGATGTCGTTAGGTTGGAAACAATGAAGAGAGCTTTGAGCTGGTTTAACATTGACAATGAAGTGCAGGAAGAAAAATAAAACAAATGAGTAACCAAGATGGTGGAGTAGGAAGACGCTGAGCTCACCTCTACCCATGGGCACATCAAAGTTACAACTGTCTACAGAGCATTTATCAGTGAGAACTGTCTGAAAACCAGAAGAAAACCTTCTCCAAAATTAAATATATAAAGAAGGAGCCAAATGATATGGGTGGAGTCCAGTCTAGTCAAGACCTACACCCCTGTGGAGGTCACCCACAAATGAAAGGATGATCACAATGGCAGAGGTTCTCCCCACGGAGCAAGCGGTCCAAGCCCCACCTCAAGCTCCCCAGCCTGGGGGTCCAGTTCTGGGAAGAGACCCCCAGAACATCTGGCTTTGAAGGCCAGAAGAGCTGGAAGACACAGAGTCTCCACACCTGAAGGGCACACACAAAATCTCACACACTTCAAGTCCTAGCATAGCAGACAGTGCTTTTAAAGAACCCTGGGTCAGACCTACTAACTCATCTTGGAGAGACTCCCAGAGAGACAGGAAGCAACTGGGGCTTGCCCTGGAGACCCAGACACTGGTGGTAGCCATTTCTGGAAGTTCTCTCTCCCGTGAGGACCTGGTACAAATGAGCAGTACTTTGCATTCCCTTCTGCAGGCTATTAGCATCAGGGGCTCACCTGTCCACCTGTGGGTCAGCACAGACTCAAGATCCCCTGGACTCACAGCCGCTTGTACTAGGACCTGGCTCCGCCCACCAGCAAGCTGGCAGCCAACCAGGCCGGGGCAGCCCCTCCCACCAGAACCCCCACGGGAGGGGCCTCATTGCAACGCAGGGATTGCAGCGACCACGTGGAGGACTGCCCTAAAGCACCTAACTGGCGAGCAGAGGACGGCATGTCGCTGAGCTCCACAGAACATCTACACGAGGCCCCTTCTCTGAGACAGCAGTGTAACTCATCTACCCAGGACACAGAAGTAAACGAGAGAATCAGGCACAAAGAAGAGACAGAGGAGTATTTTCCAGACGGGGGAAAAGAGAAAGCCCCGGAGGAACTAAGGGAAGCAGAGATAAACCATTTACCCAACAACGAGTTCAAAGTCATAAAGATGCTCAGTGGACTCGGGAGGAGAATGGATGAACACAGTCAGAAGTTTAATGAGGAGTCAGAAAATATAAAAAAATGCTAAACCAAGCTGAAGAATATAGCAATGTTTGTTTTAATTTTATAGAAAATGAAAAATACACTACAGAGAATCAATAGTACATTAGATCATTCAAAGGACCATATCAGCAAACTGGAGAAAAAATTAGTAGAAATTACCTAATCTGAATAAAAAAATTTTCCAAAAGAACTTAAATAATGAGGATAGCTTAAGAGCCTCTAGAACAATATTAAATACATTAACATTCAAACTATAGGGGGCCCAGAAGGAGAAGAGATAAAAGGATCGAGAATATATTTCAACAAAATAGCTGAAAACATTTCTTTAACCTCGGAAAAGAAATAGACACCCAGCTCCAGGAAGCACCTGTTTGCACAGTACTCTTATTTGTTTGAACTTTTTGATAAATTAGGGGAGAATATATCAATAGAGAGAAGGAAGTTGTAATTGTGTTTCACTGTGGCTCCTATAATTTCTGCTGGGAACGGTCTGTCCCTTTGCTGGAATGAACGACTCTAAGAGGTTCCCTGGCTGGCGTGGGGCACAGTCCCGTGATTTCTGCTCCTGATCATGGAGTGGGAAGTGCTGACCCTGGACTTGAGGATGCACAGAGAGTTGAAGCGACCCCCTGGAAGCCAAGTGCTGCAGGCAGAACAACTAATATATAGATATTGCTTCTCACTGCATTTAATAGGAAATAAAAGCCACGGGAAGGACTGCTCTCTGCTCTTTGTTTTCCCACAATTTCCATCTTATTGTGATTAAAGGAAACAAAGTACAGTCTGAAAGCATCCTATTTGGCAACTGCTGACTGCTAAATCTCTTTGGAGAGCACGGCTAATACTCAGTGTAGAAGAAGCCATACCCTGTCTCTGCGGTTTATAGATCTCATTAGGATGTCAGCACTTAAAGTCTCTGCATACGGAGTTGACTCTCAGTCACTTGAGCTCTGGTGGAGAAACACCCGCCTGCCTCGTGTAAACAATAGGAATTATCCACAGCCCATTAGGGTCACTGAAGGTATCACCATTAGCCCATGGAAATCTCCTGGGTTGTTTTTAAGTTTTCTTCCGCCGTCTTCTTCTAGCACTGGCATTTTCAACTTCTCACTTTGTGTTGAACTTTCGTGTTCTCTTCTCTCAAAGGCACTGTAAGAGACTGAGAACTATTCATGGAAAGTGGGTTGAGAAAAGCAGACTTGTGCAGAGAGGGGCAGACACATCACATCAGAGTGTATACCATCTCTAAAACAAGACCATTTCCTGAAGATGAAGACTGTGAACACATCCTAAGTTGCTCCTCTCTGAGGACCTATTTTAAGATTTGTAGTTAGCATTTCCTCATCAAGCATACGTAAACACGGCTGCATAGAAATCAACATTGGGTCACATACACGAGCTCGATCTGATTTCTTGTAAAGTCTGGCTTATAGATTTACTCAGTGCAAAGTCTCGCATCTTGATGGAATTTATAATTGACAGATTACAACTCAGAAAAATATTCTAATAAAAAAAACCTCTAGCCAGTTAACTTCAGACTTGTCAAGTGTGACCTTGTCAAGAATTTCCCTGATTCCTGTCTGTTTTTATTAACTCTTGTGGTATTGCCTGAGCCAGGAGTTTAGAGAAAAAGAGCATGGATGAAGGTATAAAATGATCTTTTCTGAAGGCTCTGAACTGTTCAATCTTCTCTGAGATAAAGATTTCAGGAGTCTAGATCAAGATCAATTTTGTAAATTCACAGAGTAGGCCAAAACCTATATGATATGATTTATTGGAGACCAAAGCCTCCCCTTTTCCCAGGACCTAAGCTGTTTCTCTGACAATATTACCATACTACTCCATTGCACGTATTGTATCTTCCAGTTCAAGTTTTACATCCGGGGGTTCTTTTTTATATGCAAATTGTCACTTGGTATGTGCGAGGGATTGTGGAAAAATTCTTTAAAAATTTTTGGAAGGAGACATAGAAATCTAAAATTTGGGGAGCAGTCAGGAAGTAGTGTGAGGTCAAAATGGGACTTGGTCAGCATTTAGGCAAAAGTGAAATGCAAAAATGAAAACATACTCTATTCCAAATTTTGCTAAAGGTCCCTTCTTACTTGGGTTGTTAATAAGCACCAGCAAGGGATCTCATTGTGTCTCCTAGGTCTAAATTAACATGAAGGCGGTTCTAGTGCTCTGCCTAAGGTAATACCAATTCCCTTGGAAATTCCATATGGAAATTCCATATGGATTCTTCAGTGCTTTCTGGGCAGGACTGAGCTGGAATTCAGATGACACCATACCAGATAACAGGCTTACATTATCTCATTTAGTGGTATCTTGATTTTTATTTTTTAAGACATTTTTTTCCCCCTGATGTGGACCATTTCTAAAGTCTTCATTGAATTTGTTACAATATTGCTTATGTTTTATGTTTTGGTTTTTTGGCCTCAAGTCATATGGGATCTGGGCTTTCCAGGTGGCACTAGAGGTAAAGAATCCTCCTGCCAATGCAGGAGTTGCAAGAGATGTGGGTTTGACCGGGAAGATCACCTGGAGTTGGAAGTGGCAAACTGCTCCAGTATTACTGCCTGGAAAATTCCATGGACAGAGGAGCCTGGTGGGCTACAGGCCATGGGGTCACAAAGAGTCAGACATGACTAAACAGCTGAGCACACATGCACTTATTTGGGATCTTGGCTCCCCACCCAGGGATTGAACCCACACTCTCTGCATTGGAAGGTGAAGTCTTAGCCATTGAACTGGGAGGGAAGTCCCAGTGATGTCTTGTTTACAGACACCTGGTCTTGGCCACCTGGTTACAAAGGCTCCCCTTGATCGGACTTCAATCAGGTTCCTCTGAGCCCTCTTTTTCAACTTGGTCCAACATTGCCCTGTCCAGCACAGTCTTTGCCAAGAGTCTTCCCCTCCCTCATCATCAGATCTTCTATCACATCACCTACATTTGATGTCTATATCCATGATCTGTCCTTCACACGAATCCTGTGAGGTCAGTTTAGCAGGGACTCTCCCCAAACCCTTGATGTCTCTTCTTAGTAACTTTCCATCCACTGACCCCCTTCACCCTTCTTCTTGACTGTAAACCCGCAGCTGTTTTTGTTGTGTTCAGAATTGAACTTGATTTCTCTCCTCTATTGCAGTGCCCTTATCACTATAGTTTTGGACAGAGTGTTCCTTACCATTTTAACAAGTGTCAGTGATTTTCCTTCGAGTAACCTAGTGAACAGACAGACACCAGCCTGAAAGATAAACAACAGAGTGAATGTTAGGGCCGTGATCCAGGACAGACAGACTTCCCTTCCTTCTCTATCAAACCCTGTGCCCTCTGCTGTCCCTTGGAAAAAACACCATTTCCTTGGGATCCATCTTTAGAGGTTTCTCATCTATGCTGTGGTTTTATAGTGCACTGTTTTATTTTAATAGTCAGTCTAAACTGACTATTAAAACACAGTGGTGCATTAAGATTATTGCTGCACTGATACAGAAAAAAACAAAAAGGAGACGGAAAAACATGTCTGGCAACTGACGCAGAGTGGGTCAACCCAGTCACAGAAGGCAGGGGCAAGCACAGATGAAACAATCTCTCCTGGATTAAGGGATAACAGGTATAAAGACACCATACCATATGTATAAAGAGTGGTCTTCTAAAGCACACACGTCAAGAAACAGATGCCTCCAGTCCCATCAGAAAAATTTCAAGTAAATACTCAACACTTGGAACTGAAATACCGAGAGCTGTTTGAGGGAAGAAATACACGCGAGAATGATAAAAATAAAACGAACAAAGGGATAACAGAATTCTCTCTTGCTCAAGCTATTATTAGATCTGATTTCAGGAAAACCCCCCAGTAATCTGCTTTGGTTCCTGTGGTCCTTCATTCTGATCTGAAAACATGCTCTGAAAGTGGAGCCTTCTGTTAGGGAAAAAACCACTCATCTGCACAGAAATGCCAAGCTCTTTTACAAATTTTTAGGTTTTGATACCTGAGGATAACTGGGCCTTCTGTAGTCCACCCCACAACCCCCGCTGGGAACTGCACATACAAAGAACAAAATCAGGGCAGGAGAGAACAGGTCTGTTCATTGGGTTACACAGTCAGGAGCCCAGAGAGTCAACAAGTCCCAGGGACAGGACAGCAGCCTGCTTCCTCCTGCACCTGCTTCCCTGAATCCTTACAGGCCTCACACACACACACACACACACACGTATACATTTGCAATTATTTATTTGTTTTTGGCTGCTCTGGACCTCTGTGGCTGCACGCAGGCTTTCTCCAGTTGTGGCGAGTAGAAGCTACTCTCAGGCGCGATGCTCGGACTTCCCGTTTCGGTGGCTCCTCCTGTTGTGGAGCGTGGCTCTGGGGAGTGTGCGCTTCTGTAGTTGTGCACGGGCTCCATTGCTCTGTGCCATGTGGGATCTTCCTGGACCAGGGATCGAACCTGTGTCCCCAGCACTGGCAGGCAGATTCTTAACCACTTGACCACCGGGAAAGTCTGCTTACAGGCCTCTTTAGCCACAGTATGGCTTTAGGTATTCCTCCTAATATACTGGGATGTTATTAAAGATTTTAAGTCGCAACAGTGGCTTCATTCCATTTGACTTTGAAAGTCTGGAGTGCAGGAAAATACTTCAGGAGAAGTGGAGAGAGGTGTTTGGGAGTTTTGTTGTTGCTATTTAGCCACTAAGTGGTGCCCAGCTCTGTTGCAGCCCCATGTAGGTAGCCCCCAGGCTCCTCTGTCCTTGGGTCTTTCTAGGCAAGAATACTGGAGCAGGTTACCGTTAGGAGTTTAGGAAAACAATAATAGTGACTGCCTTGTACTTAGTGATGTTTCTGACGTTTTGCTGAGAGCTTTTCATCTATTGTTTTCTTCAGTCATTGTCAAGCTATGTGATAAGAACTATTAACCTGTGTATTGACATAGGGCAACTGAGAGGTACTGAGTGCAGTTTAATATTTCAGGTCTCATTATGAGTGAGGACGGGTAGTAGCAACAAATATGATTAAGCCTCACTGCGCC